GAGTCCAATCCGCATTCATAAATAGCTAATTACCTACTTAAATGGAATTAATTTCAATACCATTGAAATTAATTCCACATAAGTTACCTAATACACTCTGTCAATTCAACACACGCGAAATGGGCTTAGCCGTCAAATCAAATCAAATTACTAGCTCGTTGATTTGACGGCCTCGTCCAGCAGTGCGTTATAAACTTATTACTTGAGATTTAATCTGATTTTTAGTTTAATATTTATAGCCAAAAATGTTAATCATCATAACTTTACTTTTCGAGCTAACATAGCAACCGCTAAAAAGAAAATCAGCTAAACATTTCGACTATGGGTAGATAGATACTTGTCAGACTGCTTACCGATACGCGTTCTACTTACTCGTATTTAATTGTACTTTTAATAATACAGAATGTTGTATATTACGAGTATATTAGACTAGCTTTTGTATGTTATATTAGATTTGGTAGGGTAATTCCAGGATACATGCCCCAGTGGGATAGGTGCCGCGATTTTAAGTACACTATGTTACAAGCAACTTGGCCTAAAGTTATAGTTATAGTACGTACAATAGAAAGGGACCTCCCCGTACCACTTTTCGTCTCGCAAACCATCAAAGAGTGGGTTCGTTTAGCCAGTGAGAGCAAAAATCTTCCGCGGCCAAACCTTTAAAACAGTAAAACAACATATTATCATAAACGAAAATATGTATTGATCATCAATCATCATTATCGTTATCATAATCAACTTGGATTATAAAATTGGCATCTTGTTAAATTGGTTATTTTATGAAGTTAAGATTTTATTAACAAAAGGATTTTCATAAAAAAGGTTTGTTGGCCAGTAATATAAAAATAATTTCCCATTATTTTTTGTAACTTCATAAATATGATAATAAAAATTCAAATAACCATTTTGAAATGTTCAGTACATTTTTAAGCCTTAGTTTTTCAAGTGAAACCTTAAATTCAAGAAAGGATTATTTTTTAATTTGTGAAAATGCTCTCCATTCATAATGGGAATGTTTCAATGTTGACAACACTTCTGAAATGTCAAAATTCCGTCGAATTAAAAATCAGAGTATAGGGGCATCTATCCTAACTTGCTCTTTTTGTCACAAGTAGCAAGTAAGAAGAAAAAAGGAATGTAGTACGGCTAACCTTAGGAAAGTAATAAATAGGGTGCCCTTCTGATTGAATTACCTTTTTACCCGACTGCGCTAGTAAATGTTTTTCGGGTGGATGTACTATTTTTAATAAAAAATATTATTTTTCATTTTTAATTCATTTAATAATAAACAATCTTAAATAATAATACTTGGCTTGTTTGATTTCAAAATGCATTTGATCCTTAGAATTCAAAAACTGTTTAACGAGTCATCTATCCCTACATCAGGCATCTATCCTTCGAAGCAATCATACAGTGAGTCTTCTATCCCCCACATTAGGCGTCTATCCCACTTTTTAGAGGTCAATTAAAATGGTATTTACTCAGAATCGGTATAAATTAAACTAAAATAATTATAGTAATATCATAGACGAAAGACCAAAGTTTACAGATACTAAGGTCAAATTGTTGATAAAAACTTACTGACTGAGTTACAGAGCTGTTTCAAAAAGTGGGGCATCTATCCTGGACTTACCCTATATTATATGTTGTATGTTACCTTGCCGGCGGTCGCCACTTCGTACGTGTGGCCCCTTTACCCCGTTTTGGGGTGGAATTTCGCTTATAAATACGAGTATAGAAAATTACTATTAGAAAATATCCTTCAATATTTGAAACGTTCTTATTATGCTATTCCTATTTACTTTCGCCATACGAGAGTAAAACTGCAGCGCTAAAGTTTTATTGGCTAATTTTTAGTACAGCGCCAGTCAGTCACCACAATCACTGCTGAAAATGGCTAACAAATAAACCCTAATTAAAGTTATCATCGCAAAATTTTCCGTATAAAGCTACACCGCGGTCAGGGGATCGATTCTCATTATATTTCACAAAGTTATACCCGCGAGCCTCGCTGTATGCGGTTAGCTCCACATAAAACGTTTCACGCAGCCCTCGCAGACAAACAATACATTAATAGCACCTTAACCCTCGCTGTAAGAGGTGGGGTGTGACACACCCCAGACCTTTAAAAATCGTCATAATTTTAAAAATTTGCAAGTGCTAAATTTGAAATTCTCAGTAGCTGGAATTATGGCACTGCTTCTTCGATCAGCGTTGCAAAATCAGTCCAGCGGTGACTACCAACTTAGTTACATGCCTTTGAAGTGCGTGTGGGTGTCACACACCCCACCTGGTACGGGACGTTGTTAAAAAGTTTAAAAAAATATCTATCAGTTTTGGTTTAATTTATATATTTTTAGCTTTGTTAATTGAATAAAATTCAATACAAATAATATTTTTCGTGATTTTCACGGAATTTGAAATTTTCAAGCTCTTTTATTCAAATGAGATGACTTTTAGTGCGAATCTGGAAATTTAGTACTGAGATCCGAAGATGTAGGTGAACATACACTAATATGGGCTACAATTTATACTTGGTGATATAATTTATGGGCTGCTGAAATGGAATAACATATTTTATAAATAAATAAAATTGTTTCGCTCCCATTTTATGCATTGAGCATACTCATTTACTTTCATCAGTATTGGGGTAAATTAAAATACGATGGTCAAAATAAATTTATACCCTTCCAGTTTTTCATTTACTTTTAAATCATAAGTAAATATCTTGTATTCTATATATATAAAAGAAAGTCGTGTTAGTTACTCCACTTATAACTCAAGAACGGCTGAACCGATTTTGCTGAAAATTGTTAGGGAGGTAGTTTAGATTAGAGCCTGGAGAAGGACATAGGATACTTTTTATCCCGTTCGAAATTTTAAAAAAAGTCTGCTTATTTATTGCCATTAAGGCGGAACAAAGTTCGCCGGGTCAGCTAGTGTTAAATAAAAACGGTTGTCATAATTAAAGGCACTAATTAAAAAATATACATAAGAAACTGATTCCTAAATTATAAGAACAACGGAAATTGTGTCTTTTTGTTTTTTTTATGACAAAAATTTTATAATACATATGGGTAGTTCTACTCACGGTGGAATTATTTAGGACCATAAAATGAATCTCCAGTTTTTGTTAGTAATCAGTATAAACAGTGACTAAAGGCCGATAATATACTACAATATATCCAATTTTTAACGGGCCAGACAAAATTATNCTTGGGAAGTTACTTAATGCTAATTTGTTTCAATATTGTGTGTGTGTGATACGTTAAACAAAACTAAAGCATTTCTTTCTAATTACTTTCATCTACATTAAATAGGAGTAGAAATATGTTAGGATAATTTATTTACATCTAATACAATACCGATTTCAGTTCCTACACCTAAAGATCTTTTGCAAGTACGAAATTGAAGTAACAATAAAATTCCAGAACTCTACAATCTACTAAAGTCTTCCAACAGCCTTAAAACTGGCAACACCATACTATATCCGCCATTTACGTTCAGTAGAGACAGAACACATCATTCCATCTCGCTCGCGCCGGAATGTGACCCGCTATCACGTTGAAGGCCGTACGGAGCTTACGGGCCCTCAATGAAGAGCTTAAAGCACTTTGGAAGCTGCATCGATACCTATTGAGCTTTCTAAGTGCTAAAGAGCGCCTTTGGCGTGGTTGTTTTGCGAAAACTATTAAAAGCTAATGTATATTTTACTTCCTAAGCTTAATTGCTGTAAAAATATCAGTTCTACTAAAATTAGTTATGTGCCTACTTATATGCGAACTATTTTTGCTTTACGGAATCTATTACAAATTTTTTACTTGACAAAGTAAAATAAGCCTTTTCGCCGCAAAGTACTTACCTACTATACAATCCTGTCAGTGTTTCTTCAAAAATTCCTTAAGTATTTTAAAGTCTTATGGTTACCTTCACTCAAGTCATAGATTTTACCACAAGGGCAATGTGCAGATTAGTGGGAATCTGCTCTACCTGTTATGGGTGCTCTATTATCTACCTGTTCGGCGCTTTCATAAAATTATTTGGACGAGCTTTTAGCTAGGGGTTAAGAACGATTTCACCTGTGTGCATATTGCATATTAATAATGAATCTGCTTGTGAAAAAATTAAAAATAGCTTAGGATAATAATTTTCGGAGTATTATGTATCTAGTAAAAAATAACAATCAAAATTCATGCAATTTAATTTTCAGGTATTAGCGCTATCTATTGAAAAAATAAAGGTTTAATTAAATTAATTCTTAATGCTTAAAAAAGCAAGAACTGCCATCTAGCGGCAATATTATGCACTAAAAATGTTTTTTTATTTTTTATTTCTAAATAATGACAGTGCTCAAGGCATTTAATATTATATTGTTAAAAAGTTTAGTAATTTTTTTTTAGATTAATTAAAAAAGGTTTCATAAAAGATTTCTCGAAACGAAACGTGGTTGCCTAGCAACTGTCAGTTTGACCGTTTGACGTATGTTTGTTGTTTTTCGTAATACTCACGCGACCGCGACGTTATTTCCAATTTAAATTTTAAATGCGTGACCGCGGCCCATAAAACTTATTTAGGAAATAAACTGAGCAAGACGTAATGTGTCTGACCTCGTATGTTTCAATTACCATTACCGACACCCACGGTTTCTGCGACCGAGCGTTGGATAGCCCGAGCAGTCTGTTTAGCAACGAGGAAGTCCTGGTGTATTGATCTCACAAGTGAGTCATTATACTTTTTGTGAGTTTCTTGACCATCTTGTGTGTCACCTTTCGCAGGAAAGGTATTGTTAATAACTGTTCCAAAGTGCTTTGTTAAGTTAAGAACTTGGTATCTCTAACTGCAGTTGGTACCCAACTTTGAATCAGTATGTAACATTGCTTTTTTTTACCAATTTAATATCAAACTGAAATTGAAGTATGCATTATGCAATATCTAACATAATCACTGTCTAAATGTTTCACAAAGTGTAAGATTCTTAAGGAAACTTATATTTTCAGAAAATGTCTAGACCGGTGGTTCGGCCACAGTGGCAGTTGGCTGCACTGGCAGCACAACGCCGTGATAACGAGCTTCGAAAAGCAGAAGAACTAAAGAAGGTGAGTTCTCATTTATTTTTTTAGTTCTAAAATTTTATCTAAGAAGTTCTAAAATAGTAACGTAAAAAAAGTATTTATTGCCAGAAGATGTCACAAATTTCAAGTGTACCTATGCTTGTATCAAGGTGGCCAGAAATACATTTATCTTTAACATGTTACATTTATTTTGTAAGTGCATAAATAGTCAAAAAGCTTATTTGGGTTTTGACGACAGTAATTTGTTTTATTTCATGAAGGCAGAAAAAATGTAAGATAATTTTTCAGTTAGATTTGGAATAAGTTATAGTGTCTTCTTTTACTCATTTTTAATAATTTATAGATTGCGAATTACTTTGAGGCCAATACAAACAAGTCTCGGCACCATGAGCAGTGGACGACAGAAGGGTACTATGAGAAAGCGAACAAAGAGGCAGTGGAACTGAGTGAAAGGAAAATACGAGCTGCGTAAGTTGATGACGTTTATTTTTTATTGATACCCTGTTGGGAGAAAAAAGGAAACATTAATATTTTTTCTTATGCAGTCAATTAGAAGAACGTCGCAAAAAACTGGAGCTGATGTTGTTTCAAGAAAACATGCAGTATCAGCAAGAGTTGAAGACACTGGGTGCACAACCTAAATATTACAAAAATGGGTAAGATATTAAAATGCATATTCTTTTTTTTAGTACTTTTCAGAGCAAAAACTCTTTACTTACGTTGACAAATTTGGTATAGAAAATACATTTATATCCCTTCAACTGCCGATTTCCCGCAGCCCGTATGTCAGAGGAGGGGATGTTTGCCACGCGCCCTTGGGGGGAACCGTGATTACAATACAAAGCCTTTCTTTTGATGAGATAAGGTGTATTTTTCCATTGAATCTCTATGCCAAACAGCTGAGAAAACGTCTAATATTAAATATCGCCATCACACTCCACTCATACTTGTCTAGGCTACTGTCGCCTTTCAAAAGTACCTACTTGTTTACCGGTCGGCACTGGTCGGCACATTTATCATGCTTATTGCCAGCCAGTCCGATTATGATTCAGTTCCAATATACTATTACTATTATCATCTTTCTTTAAATTATTTCCAGCTCCTACCTTAACAAAGTACCAACCTCCACTCTCCAAGAGATCAACCAAGGCATCATGGCCAAGGAAGAGCAGCTCAGAAGACACGAGGCTGAGCTGAGACTGCACCACGCGTGGCGACTGAGGCAGCCGGAGTTGAGAGCTGCAAGCTCATACATAGCTGCTGGGAAGTGCAAGTCTGCATGGTGAGGTTTCACTAAATATTTCCAGCTCCTACCTCAACAAAGTACCCACCTCTACACTGCAAGAGATCAACCAAGGCATCATGGCGAAGGAAGAGCAGCTCAGAAGGCACGAGGCTGAGCTGAGACTGCACCACGCGTGGCGGCTGAGGCAACCGGAGCTGAGAGCTGCCAGTTCATACATCGCTGCTGGGAAGTGCAAGTCTGCATGGTGAGATTTCACTAAATATTTCCAGCTGCTACCTCAACAAAGTACCAACCTCCACTCTCCAAGAGATCAACCAAGGCATCATGGCGAAGGAAGAACAGCTCAGAAGACACGAGGCTGAGCTGAGACTGCACCACGCGTGGCGACTGAGGCAGCCGGAGCTGAGAGCTGCCAGTTCATACATCGCTGCTGGGAAGTGCAAGTCGGCATGGTGAGATTTCTCTAAATATTTCCAGCTCCTACCTCAACAAAGTACCAACCTCCACACTGCAAGAGATCAACCAAGGCATCATGGCTAAAGAAGAGCAGCTCAGAAGACACGAGGCTGAGCTGAGACTGCACCACGCGTGGCGGCTGAGGCAGCCGGAGCTGAGAGCTGCCAGTTCATACATCGCTGCTGGCAAGTGCAAGTCTGCATGGTAGGATTTAAAGAGCGATTTACTTATCTTTATTTTTTGTGCTATTTTTATGTACTTTTCTAAGATTGTATATCTTTTTTATGTAAAACTCCATCAGAGAGATATTTATTGTTGTAAAATTGGCCAAAGCTACAAATTGCGTACTGAACTGCTACTAAAAGACATCAAAGACATGGCATAAAAATTAAAAAGTTCTGAAAAAGTTAAGTGAAAAGAATTAAAAATCATGTACCACCAGTAATTTCTGGTTGAACCGAATGTTGACAGGAAGAGAAGTCTGATTGCTTTTATAATTAATAGAGTTTTAAAGAAAATAGGTATTATTTTGTTTTTAAATCTCAGTAGATATAATGTTTGTAAGCAGTGCAATGTCTGCTCTAATTTACTAAGGTCGGCGTTTGCAAGATTAACGAGCGCCCACGCTCACCTCGACGCCCACACGTTACCACGGTCACTATAACTGTTCCGAGAAATTATAAAAGGACACATCCTTTGATTCTTTGTTATTAGGATTTTTGTATTTATTTTGTATTGTAAGACCTTTTTGCTTGCGACCTTTTTAGGGTTCTTAATTATCATCTGATATTCTGAATCAATCGATTTTTTCAGGTTTATACAATTAGCCGGGACACATCTTTGTTAATTATGTTTATGTTATGTATTTTTTACATATAGCCACGTTTAAATTCTATTTATCATTATGTCCAAAAGACATATTATTCCAATTAAAGTAATTATATTCCTTTTTTTATGTAGGTTGGAGCAAATCGTAGAAAAAGAAATGGAAAAGAAAAAAGAAGAGGAAGAAAACATAAAGATTTTGCAAGAGAGAGACGAGGCGCTGCGCCGCCAGATACAGATAGAAGAAGACAGGCTGAGGGACAAGGAGCGCCAGATGAGGGTAAAGAAATAGGTATATTTAAGGAATAAGGAAGTAGAAAACGCATGAGTCAATACAAAGGTCAAAGAATAAGATGATGATAAACTAAAGCTATGTTAGAATATAAATTAATACAAATTATTCTCATTTAATAAAGTGGCTAATTCTCGCGGTAACAATTTATTTTACCGAGTGTCTGATCACGTCGGGATGTGAATTCGTAACAGTAGCTGTGTGCTTACCATTAGTTTACGTTATGTGTGCTCGCTAGCGACTGCGTAAAAAAGTAACATTAAATGTATGACATATTGTGCAGTGCCCCTAGTGGCTACTTTCAAGAAATAAAATCTTCATAAATTTGTTAGACGTACTCGCTAGCGAGCACACCTAACGTAAACTCATGGTAAGCACACTGGTGTTGTATTTTAACCATCAGGCACCATCGCAACAGATACAAGCAATTTAATTTACATTAGTAAAATATGCAGGTTGCTACCGACCGTGCGGTATGGAAATCATTGGGGGAGGCCTATGTTCAGCAGTGGACGTCCTAAGGCTGAAAGATGTTGATGAGTAAATTATCTTCTTGGTAATTTTGTGTAAGTCATCTTAGGGTGTTCGAAATTTTCGGCATATTTGATCCTTAGTAAACGATTTAGATGAAGGTGGACAGATGACCTCAGAAAAAGGTAGTATGAAGGCGCTTGAAGCAGACCGCTACCACCGCTACCAACCGGTTCTTATAGAAATCATATGCCCTATGTTCAGTATTGACAAAGTAGTTTATAGAAATACATTTTATATTTTCCAGGAGCTTCGCGAAGGACTCGAAGGGCAAATAGCTGAGTTTTCAGAAAAAGAGTCGATCGTTAATAAACTAAGAAAAGCAGAAGAGAGAGAGAAGATGATACTAGACGAGCTCCAGTTCATATCGAGTGAAAGAGAAAAAGAACACGCGAGACTGGTGGCGGAAAGGGACGCAAATATCGTGAATATGGGCTTGCACAAGTATAAGTTGAAGAGGAAGGTGATCTCTGTGCTGAAGGAGATTGAGTTGGATTTGGATATGCTGGCAAAGATAAGAAGAGCTGTTATAAAGGTACTCTTTAGAACTTTTTTATTTGGTCGAATGTTCTGCGCCTTAATACAAAAAAGTTAAGCCCGGGATGAACACTGGTTTAAAATGACATTTTCATACTTAATATAATAAGGCCTAAGGGGGTCTAACTTCAAATATAGGTACAGCCATAATTTTACGATTCCATAACTAAAAGGAGTCTCACATTTATGTTGTTGTTTTTGTTTATTAAATTTTCTATCTTACAAGAACTTTTTTTTCAGGATCTAGGAAAAGAACAAGAAAAGTCGGCCAGTTATAAAAGAGTACTTGATACGGCGCTACGCGAGTTAGAAGAGTACAAGGATAAGGAGAGACAAAGACAGAAGAACATCGAGGCTATGTACGACGGTGAAGCGAGGCAGATAAACGAGAAACAAGATAAGGTAAGTTTTAATTTGTACTCATTATTCATTTGTTTNCAGCTCAGAGCTTTTTTTACACCTAATAGCATACGTAAATAATCAATATTAAATATTAAATACCACCTAAAAAAATTTTAATGAAAGTTTTATCACTTTGTATATTGGGGTATGTCATACCCCACCTGGTACGGGACGTAACTTTTAGTCACCTCGTACACGGAGGGTTAATTGGACAGATTATACCAAATATCACAGGCATTTGTGACGTCAAAGGGACATCGATACTTCATTAGAGAGCATTCAATTTTGAGCGCTAATTACAAGGATATGCGGCTAGGTCTGGATATTAAAGCTTAGCCCCACTCAATAACGTTGACAAATTGATTTGCCTTTGACATATTAAGTTCGGTTTTCGTAAGCGTCCCTGTGTAATACACTTTTTGGTTAAGTGTTTCATTATGCTTTGTGCAGTTTTGCATATTAAAATAAATAAATAAATAAATATTCTGTCTCCTAAAATTTATCTTAAATATTTATTGCATTCTTGCTAATAGGTAAGTACAATACAATCGATAAAAATACAACTAGTGTAATATTAGTATCGTTTTGCGACGACAGAAATGATAGAGTTGACAATTTTATAAAATACGCGATGTTCATGGTCGCCATATCTTTTTCAATAAGAGACCTATGAAGCCTTTAATTGATTACCCAACAGTAAAGTATGTCAGTGAAAAAGGAAGGGTTTATAGAGTAGGGTCAATAGCCACTTAAAGCTGCATATCGTTTGATTGTGCTCTTAACAAATTGCGTTTTTTCCCGCTACGCTTAAAAGTACATTTTGTGCTGTCAATAGAGGTCACACTAAGTGCTTGATGGGATTTTTGTAAAAATAAATAGCTGGGTTAGAAAAGTATTTTGTACCGATAAAAGATGAGAAACTATGACAAAAACATCGAGGTCCAGCGCAAATAAAATGTTAAGTAGGAAGGTACATTAATCAAAAAGTAAAAATTACTAGTTAACATTCTACAATATCAAAATATCAATATGGTAAGAAGTCTAGAAAATTGCACCAATTTTCTTGACAAGCCTTAAACAAACATGGCATTATTATAAAAAACTAGCTTTCCGCCCGCGGCTTCGCCCGCGTGGAATTTTGTCTGTCACAGAAAAACTTTATCGCGCGCGTCCCTGTTTCAAAAACCGGGATAAAAACTATCCTATGTTCTTTCCCGGGACTCAAACTATCTCTATGCCAAATTTCATCAAAATCGGTTGCGAGGTTTAAGNTCTCTATGCCAAATTTCATCAAAATCGGTTGCGAGGTTTAAGCGGGAAAGCGTAACAGACAGACAGACAGACAGACAGACAGACAGACAGACAGACAGACAGACAGACAGAGTTACTTTCGCATTTATAATATTAGTTGGGATAGTTGGGATAACTATTGCTATAAATAAGTTCTAGTCACGTCCATTACTACCTACACAGAGTAGGTAATGTAAATACTTTAATTTCCATTAAAAAGCACATAAGCATCATCTCCCTGTGAAAACAATTTGCATACCCCTACACTACAAGCTCTATATGCCAATAGAATAACAATTTAACAAGCCACAGCTTCATACGACTGAGTTTGTCATACAAACATTTAATAAATGAACAATCCTCACCCAATATCTATCTTAAACACCGCATTGCAATAGGAGTAACCCACTAGCTCCAAGTTGCAAATTGCAAATGCATTTCCGTGGCACTAATATTAAAAAGAACAATTTCTTTGGAAGGAAAAGATAGTTAATGCCAATAGCAACGTTTTAGGCACTATGCTCATACTGGTTTGAGTACAATAACGTGAACATTTGTGAGGGTGGATGGATGAATGTTTTGTAATTTCTTTAGAATTTTTAACAATAATGTATATTGTTAAAAATATTTCTATTCTGTTCTATTTGATAGTAATCTACCATAATTTAACGCGCACGCAAAAAACTCTTTTATAAATATTTTTTTAACATAATTATTTTATATGATACCGAATTTAGTCAAAGCAGAGCCAAATAAAATTGAGCTTAAAAACAGCAATGGAAAAATTAATTGCCTGAGTGAACTCCTAACTTTTTGATTTAACCAATTATTCGCATGAAATCGCTGCCAGTAAATTTTACAGCGAAACGCATTGTGTGAATCAGTTAGTTGTGTCTATTCCGAGATCTATCTGTCCATCCGTTTCACCATTAGCCGACTACATATCCGTCGGGTGTCAAATTAACAAAGTGAGAAGAGCTTATAACTGCATCAATTTTTATCAGTAAACTCCGCGTTCCTGAGTACGCGGAGCTGAGAGTGGAGGATAAAACAACAAAAGAACCTTGGGGCATCCATCGATACGCGATTTGAAAAAGCTAGCTGCTTTTAATCAGATTTTTCATTCAAAGCGGACGTAGCAACTTTTGCTCAGTCATAAGTCGTTTATTAGACTTTCAAAAAGCTTTTACATACCGATCTCATGTTAACCTAACCACTGCTTCAAGACAATATACTTATCTAGTCACTAAATAAGTGTATTTGAATGAACGGAAAATGCGTAGGTATCTGTCACATCTTTACTTTGAACTCCGCGTCAAGCTCCGCGGCACATTTACATAAACGTTAAAACGTCGTCTATGGACTGGACGCGATCTAATTACGGATAGCGGGTTTTGCGCATCAAATTATTGACCGTCGGCGTGAACGGGAAAACGTTATTTTGGAAACTTCATTGCCTATATTTAATTAAGATACGTCGAGTTACCAACAATTTCACTTAATTGACGCTCTCGCTAACTAGATAGCAGAGACAGTATAAGACAGACATTACGAATTTAAATTCTCGTGGCCATCACGGTACTGTAATAATGTATTCGAATATCGATGACTTCCAGCAAGCGTTTTTTTTAGTCCCGTTAGCCCCTTGTACTAAGCTAAATATGCTTGAGCTTACCACAATAGTAGAGCGGCGGCGGGGACCGAACCCGCGTTCCCCGGATCACGAGTCGGCCAGTCCGACCCCTTCGCCGTTCGGCTATCGTGGCTTGAGCCACGTTAACGTAGCCAATCGTTGAAGCCTTGACGCAAAAAATTTGACCGTGGTCAATCATTGATCGAGAAATGTTTATTTATTTTATTATATCAGTTTACTTTTGATAGACCCATCGAAGTATTTTTCTCAACAAGCCAACTGTTTTAGATGTTCAAGGGTCTATTCTAAGACGATATTCGCAAAGTAGGAAGATAGGGTTGTGGTTCTGTATATTTCATTTGAGATCAATGTTATATCGTTTTCTTAAACAAGCTGATGAATGCGAAAAGAAGCTATTATTGTAGGTCACAAGAAACTAAACACCGATGGGTAAAATCTTAGAGCAAAATTTATTATGCTAACCGGCCTGTTCATCTCCGCGAGTTTGCATGGAAAACAAAACACGCGCGACGATACCTCCTGTGTGCCTACCATGAGTTTACGTTAGGTGAGCTCGCTAGCGAATACGTCAAAAAATTCTATGAAGATGTTATTTCTTTAAAGTAGCCGCTAGGGGCGCTGCAGAATATGTCATACATTTAAATGTCATTTTTTTACGCAGTCGCTAGCGAGCACACCTAACGTAAACTCATGGTAGGCACACAGAACAATCACGAGCGAGCATTGACGCACGCACGCGTATTCTTCACCCATTTGCATTGTAAAGACATAAACTATGTAGGAAAGTAGAAAAAATCGCCGGTGTATTAAATACTGTGAAGTTCTTAACTGTCTGAATAATAAAATAATTAATTATGTATTTCCTCCGCTATTTTCCGCAGTTTGGCACTTCACATTACACATTAATTTACCGAAAACAGCCCTAAGGCACTGTCACAGTACCGATCAGTGACGTATGTCAACGAAACGGTGCTCGACTCTTGAGACAAGCTAAATTACACCATATTGTTGACGGCATTGAGCGTTTTTTTTAAATACCTTCGCGAAAAAACTTTCTGTAGGTACTTCTATGATGCTACCAACAAACAAGATAGCAACTGCAGTTTACATGCCTTAAGGATCCCTAGATGCTATCTAATCCTTTAAGGGTTAATACTGGGACGTGTAAAAGTGCTTTTTTAAAGCCTACTTACAGAAATAAATGAGTTTTACTGAGTTTTTACTAAGCCTTGATCACACGTACCGGGCATACGGGCGAGACACCCAAATAATAAAAAATTATAATAAAAATAAACTTTTTTAAAAACAAGCTTTTATTCTGAATTTCGAAAGTTTGTATCGCGCATGGAATTTATTCCTCTTTTTCTCTGTTTGCGCTACAAGCTTTCGAAATTCAGAATAAAAGCTTGTTTTTAAAAAAGTTTATTTTTATTATAATTTTATTTTACACTTTTTAGTTATATCTTAATCTCAGGACCCTGGACGTTATCTAACACTAAAGTGCTCGAAAAGACAAATCCAACGAACCCAAACTCGATGAGTTTCCGCCGTTTTGTTTAGGAGTTCCTATGGCCACCTCCCGACTCCATCATCAGACCAGCTCAATGGTACCATAATATTGCATTGTCATCGGACTTACACATGTATGCAAAATTTCAGCTCAATAGGAAACCGGGAAGTGGGTCAATTTTAAGTTGCAAGATTTGACGACAGACACCAGACATGTGAAAGTAATAAAAAGCTTGTAATAATAAATAAATAAATTCCTTTATTGAAGTTACAAGTTACGTAGTAGACGTAAGTAAACATTTTATTGTCTCGCCCGTTTACTCGGTACGTGTGAGCAAGGCAACTCATCAGACACGTCCAGACCAAATCTTGTTAAAAATGCATTCAAACTTGTTCAACACTCATGTAAATATCTAATAGCCCTCGCCGGACAATCGATACGTTGCAGCCAAACGAATGTTCGGAGGGAACGTCCCTCTCCCTCCGTTAAAAGAACCACTCGTATTATCCATTAAAATTATTCTTAGGTATAGGTCACATGTCAGTCTAACACCCGTTTTCACCATCAATCCCTAATTTTAAGTGACCTAAGAAAACAAAATTCCTGTCATTAGGTATCACTTAAAAATTAGGGATTTATGTTGAAAACGGGCATCAGTCTATCTAACGTGTGTGCATTATGGACGAATTTTTAAAGGTCAAAAGTTTTTGGCTTAATTGCAGTAGGTATTATGTTTATTTATTTAGTTTTAGAGAGAAACGTCAGTAACTACTTTAACTGTCAATAAACGTGGTATCAACCTACAAATCACTGTCAATTAAATCCAAATTGAAGAAGGGAAACTTAAACCGTTTTGCGGTGGAAATGAATAAAGCTATTTGGAAAGTGCCCCGGTTAATTGCACTGTTCGCGATCTGATATACAGGGTGTTAATAGGGACGGATTGAATAAAGCAATCTCAGTTTGAGCCGTGATTTAAGCTATGCTTCTGAGCTTTAAGCCATGGTATTTTACCAAACAATCATTTCTTGCATTCACATTATTTTATTTTTTAGCCTAAAATCTTATGCTTGTTAAGAATTATTCTAGTGTCAGTATTTGTACTACGGAACCCTACACTGCGCGTGGCACGACACGCACTTGGCTAATTTTTATACTATACTTAGATTAATAAATTAGAATATAGATTAATAAAGAGGAAGGTTTCCTCTTAGGCATTTAGAATTCATTGTAAGCGTCTCCACACCCTGTATGTGATCCACAAGCGTTGAAGCTATCCAAACCGTTTAACACCTAATAAAGGACTTAGGCTATTATGGCCAATCAGTGATAGTAGGTTTCGCACTCGTCCAGTTCCCACCAGTTAAATTGATTTACTGTTTGTTATACACTTCAGTCAAGGCGTTTCGCTGCAATTAAAAAAAAAAAAAAATATTAGAGGATAGCGTACGATCTAGACAAACTAAGATAGTCAAATGGACAGAAAAATTAAAGAGAGCTGGTTAAAAACTCTTTAGTAGTAAGTATAAATCAGATTTGCCAAGACAGACAAATAGCATTCCTGTGGGTCTAGACAAAGTGCAAATTATAATCGCAAACCAGTCGAAAAGTGGTCGAAAAGCCCCTTTTTTGTATGGAGTTTTGACGGATTCGATTTTCGATTCGATCAAAAAGTGCGTTTTGTCTAGGGGGGCTGGTTATAAAATTCAACTTCGTAGTGTCGGGCTGTCACAGTGCTAATGACGTACACAAAAAGAAAATTACACGATTTGATTTTTAGATCTTTTTGTGTCCTATTATACATACATAGTATTTAGGTACTAACTACTATTTAACTACATAAAAATAGGCCTAGTAAAAACAGATCAAGGTTCTTGCCTCGCCTGCCTTTTTAGAATGATTCTATTATCATCTTACATTCTAGCTAGATGAATCCAGAACGCTAGACAAATCACTACCTAGTATTAAACAAAGTCGCTTTCCTGTCTGTCTGACCATAGAATCAGACAAACATACATAGGTATTGTTTCAATCTTTAAAACTACGCAACGGATTTTGATGCCTTTTTTAGCAGATAAAGGAAGGTTTATATCATGTATAATTAGCACCTGTGCGAAGTCGGGGCGGGTCGCTAGTTAAATTAAATAATAGAATTGCAACGACCAAAATAATAACAAACTCGTCCAGAATTCCGAGTTTATTGTTTTAAGTAGGTACCTACTGTCAAAACATTCTGCAACTTATCATGTACTTATAATGGAAGAAACTAAACTCTTGAATTATTACCCAAGGGTAAACTAAATCTGCAAACAAAATAGAGGTGATATTGAAGACAATGGCGTCTGCTTTTATATATCGCAACAAAGAAGCTGTCAATAATATCATAATGGTTTATTTATACGAAAATAGTTTTAATAACAACGAGAACGTTATCTGATATCAGAATAATTTTATATTGTGATTTGAGACGGCCTAAGAAAGCTACAAAGAAAGTTGTACACTCGACAACTCCCTCGGTTTGCATTGCTTGATTTCAAAGAAAAGTTTAGTCAATGTTTTCATAATTTACTAATTTCACTGTGCATTACTTTGAACTATAGATATACACTTCTAATAAAAAACATGTCTTAAATGATGGAGATGTAGAACTATTTAATGATACATACAATTGTCACCGAATTGACAACCTCTACCTTTTTTTAAGGGCTGATTTTTCAATTATTGTCGGATAACTTTTAACTGAAGAATAAGTTTGGCACATTGACAGTTTCAGTATAGAAAATATGTCAAAATGACAGGGTTATTCTTCAGTTAAAAGATATCTGACGATTGTAAAATCAGCCCTAAGTCGATTAATAAAAGCACCAGTGTGCTTACCATGAGTTTACGTTAGGTGTGCTCGCTAGCGACTGCGTAAAAAAATGACATTAATTGTATGACATATTGTGCAGCGCCCCTAGCGGCTACTTTCAAGAAACAAAACCTTCATAGATAATTTTGACGTACTCGCTAGCGAGCACACCTAACGTAAACTCATGGTGGGTACACAGATCTAAATATACTCAACATCAAATAAACCGCACCTTCCGTGACGCGAACTTTAACGATTTTCTTCTGACACAATCATGGTGCCCCAACAATATTGGTGTTACTTGAAAGCCCAATAAATATCCTTAAAGAAAAACACATTTAATTTCTTAATAAACGATTAACATATACCATAAATGTGACTTGAAAAAATACCTCACTTTGGGCCCACCTATGGGATCAATTAGACCAATTTTTATGGTTATAAAACCAAATAATGATCTCACGTGTCCTCTTTAACAGATGGATAGCGATTAATCTCAACTTAACAGTTTTATAGCCATAAAAGTTGGCTCTAGCGTAACTAACTACCTATTTTTTGAAGAAGTGACTCTGGATCCTTCTAACGACACATTTTTGGGGTAGAAACCTTTCCTTTAATGAAATGAAGGTTAGAACTAGGCTTTTAAATGGTGCTAATATTGGTGGGAAGTGGGGATGCATACGTTTGAAAATGCTTGTCGCGGGAGGTGCGATTTATTTGATGTCGAGTGTATTATAAAAGGGGAAACTGGCTGACAGACTGACATATCAAGGCACAGCCTAAACGGCTAAACGTAGACACTTGAAATTTGGAAGGTAACGTAGCTTAGGTACCGTAGAAGTGCACTAAGAAAGAAATTCCCAAAATTCCCACGGGATCGGGAATTAGCGGGAAAATCCTTTTGTATGAAAAATCTAAACCGCTTAA